TAAAGGATTATGAGAGCTGAGGTGTGCAAGAAGTTGAGACTTGCTTGATGAGGGCGTGTGACAGGGAGAAGAGCGTGTATGCATATTTCGAATGTTTTTGAGTTGGTGGGATTAGATTGCTACAATGAGATCTCTGCTGACAAACTCTGCACGTTGGGCCTGGCATATTTGACGCCTCGCATTCGGGGTCAGAGAAGAAAGGGCACCAGGATTGCTAGCATGTTTGGAATGCAAGCTTTTTGTGCTTGTTCCTTGCGCACCTACTGTACAGTAAATGGTTTTGGGAATCTGGTAGATCTTTTGGTAGGTATGAAGAGATTGGGATCTTGGCTTTGGAGGTTCCTTGAAACGATCCATCGCTATTAGGAGGCCATCGCTACTAGGGTGGATGCCATCGCTCTTAGGTTGGAGGCCATCGCTACTAGGGTGGAGGCCATCGCTGTTAGGTTGGAGGCCATGGCTACTAGGGTGGAGGGAATCGCTGTTAGGTTGGAGGCCATCGCTACTAGGGTGGAGGCCATCGCTACTAGGTTGGAGACCATCGCTGTTAGGTTGGAGGCCATGGCTACTAGGGTGGAGGGAATCGCTAGTAGGGTGGAGGCCATCGCTACTAGGGTGGAGGCCATCGCTACTAGGTTGGAGGCCATCGCTCTTAGGTTGGAAGCCATTGCTATTAGGTTGAGTTTTGACACGTGGCTCGACTGCAGAGACCTGCGCAGGTTCCCCATGGCTGTGCCGCTACTCGCACCTGTGGCCCTCATGCCTGCCCGGTGTGAGGCAAAATGCTTGTGGGTCAACAGTTCGCCCATCAATCCTTCAAGTATGAGTATGAGTGTCATGAGCCGAAGATCTGATCAATTGGGCTTTCTTTTCCTGTTGATTTCATGGTCGTGGTCCCTCCAACTTAAGAAGTGTGCTTTGGCTGAATCCAACACGAAAGGGATCCACTGCGGACAATCAAGTAGTCTGCTGTAAAGAGCAGAAAGGGTAGACGGGTAGACTTCCAACCTCTTCGTCGCAAGCGCAACCAGTGGCTTTGAATCTTGATGCAGATTCGTCACCTTATAGGAGCAAGGCAAGGATGCTACTAGGAGCAAAGGGCATCGCTACTAGGAGCAAGGGCCTTACTACTAGGAACAAGAAGCTAGTAGAAACAAGAAGCTTTAATTATATATAACTTAAATTAGAATCAACATCAGTGCATTCCTCGGACGATTGGGAGGCCGTGGTGGCGCCAGAGGTTATATCGATCAGCCTGGGCTCGGCCGGGGCTTCAAGCTTTGGAAGGAAAGATGACACACCAAGATGAAGCGGTTCACTGGTGGCCACAGTGGTAGTGTGGCAATGATGGTTGTTCATGAAAGTCCAATTTCCCAAGAAGTTGCCCGCCTGGCCGAAAAACATACTGTAAGCTTTAATTCTTTCGGTATGAAGGCCCTGAGGCTGTAAAGATGGCACAAGGGACACGCTCGATTCTGCAGTGTGATTTTGAAGTCGGCTTTTGAGATCGTCCTCTTCATCGTACTACTCCTTTTTGGCATGGTCTTTGGCTGGGAGCTCAACACAAGATGTCCATTGGTTCGGGCATTGCCTTAAGGTTGGAGGCCATCGCTATTGGTTAAGCTTCCCAAAAAATCTAAGAACCAAATCATGAGCGTGAGCTATTCTGTGCCCATACTAGTAGCTCAAGTAGCTACTAGCGACTCCCTAGCTATATACTTCCTACCTCTCTACTCGCGGCCAAAAAAAAGGCAGAAAGAAAGGTCTACAAATTGGTTTGCTATTCGGTTGTCGTGTCAGGTCGGAACATTGCTGGCTTTCTGGACTCCTTAGACAACATCGAGGGATCTCGTTGAGAAAATGGCGCTGTTGGCTCTCATTGTCCATTAGAACTTGGCTTTACTCTCTGACTTACAGGTGAAGAGGATCGTTACAGAGTTTCGGCCATGTAACTTTAGTTTATCGCTGCTCACGTGGAGGTTTTCAGTATAGCGGGCAACTTGAAGGCTCTCAAGGCCCTCTAGGCTTGAAGGGTGCCTCGCAGGCAAACATAGGTATGAAGGGCAATCAGGTTAAAATTCTTTGCGGAAAGGAGATCAAATTGATACTAAACAGACCTCCATGTCCTTACGCCTTTAGTTCTAAAATTATATGATGATTTCACAACTAGCTTGCAAATCGGATGCAGACTTTGGATACTTCTATTCTGTTGGACGAGCATGTGGCTCAAGTGAAGGATCAAGCAGCGTAGGCGTAGAATCATGGGGTCGAAATCGGCAGTTCGAGCTGAGACTCGTCGGTCAGAGTCAGCCGACAATGTGGAAAGCCGTTACGTACCCAAGTCAGCCAGTCGCAGTCAGGCCATTCGAAGCCGAAATCGTCCACCAGTGGATACAGGACTTCCCGTGCAGTCAGCTCCAGGCGAGCGGCAAGGCACCAGGTAGTGCCGTAATGGTGAAGAGCTGATTGAGAAAGGTTGAGCGTCCTGTTCCGAGCATTCTCTAGAGTTTTACGCGTGGGGGTTGCCCGCCTGTCTCGATACAGTTGGATGTCAAGAGAAGGAACTTGTCGTGCAGGGCTGAAAGGCCGTAATAACAGCCACAGTGGAGGGTGGGAGCCGCACCAAACCTTAGAATCCTTAGAAAGTTACCCCGTTGAGGGGTAACTTTTTGAGGTTGCACCATATGGTACTCAGACTTGGGCCGTCCACATTGGGTCAAGTCTGACTCAATGGCCCCATCAAATAGGTGGGGGGTGAGGTTTCAGGCCATGGGCCTCCTTCCAGATCGGGCAAGTCGATAGCTGGTACGGTCTGTCGACAACTGAGCTAGACTCCTTGCAAATCATGGCCATGATACCCTTGGAAGTTTTCGAACAGTCATTGACAGTCATTGAACACCGCTTCACGTGGGGGCAGGCCGCTTACTGACACAGAGAAAGCCCAATGGAGGCTATTGCAAAGTGCAGTGAGAGTCAACTACGGAAACGCATCTTTGTTTTCAGCAGTCGCCGCACCAGCACGATCAGCAGCGCCAGCTGTTGACAGTGGAGCCACAGTTGGAACGAAGCTGAAATTGAAGACGAGCTTAACCGACCAAGGGTGTGATTTTGAGGTTGAGATGTTTTTTTAACACAGCTCTTCAGAAGATGCGATCACCACTTTTGCATTGGTTGAAGGAGATGTTGGTCCACTAGTTGTGGCCCGCAGTACGGCGCAACAATTAAACAACATCTGCGACATTTGTGTTGTGCTGGTGGCTTGTTGTTGGGTTGAAGGTTGCGTGGCACAAGGGACTGTTGGACATGAGATTGAACACAGATAGGTGCAAAGATCCATGTTGACGATGTTGCGCAAACAGTCAAAGTCACAGTAACACAAGTTGGAAGATTTTAGACGGCTTGCAGACTCGCTGGAGAGACGGCCGTTGGTGTCGCTCAAGCAGCTGCAACAGTTCGTTGGCAAAATGTCCTGGGCATCGGGTTTCATCAGTCCGTTGAAGCGATTTGTGAGCATGATGCACGCAGCAATGGCCTCAAGAACAAAGCCTGGAAAGAACAATCTATGCCCATTACAAATGTAGCCTGGACTTCATGGTAGACGCCTCACCTTGGGGCGGTGGGGCAGCGACAGGTGAAGTGACAAGCGTTGAGGATGAAAAGTGTGATTCTGCGCCAGTGCATGGGTCTGGATGGGACCTGCGCAAAAGGGTCTGGGGTTTGCAGGAGGCAGGGATGCCTATGTGAGTGTGGTGACTTCCCAGCGCAGGTCACCTCCCACAAAAGGTGGACTGATTCAGACTTTGCAATCGCCGTGGGCATGGATGAAGAGACAGCGCAAGGCATCACAGGCCACATGATGAGGCCTAGTGGTGCAACATTCATGGCCAGGCACGGCGTAGAGATTTACAAGATGCAACTGTTTTGCCGATGGAGGAGTGACACGGTGCTCTTTAAGGGATGTCCCGCTTGAAGACTCGACGCCTGGCCGACAAGACAGTTGTCAAGCAGACCTCCAAGGTCCTGAAGCTCGAAGACCAAGAAGCAGGGCCAACGCGTGAAGAAGTTGAGAGAGTGATTCAGGAAGGCCTGGAGACCCAAAGCATGGAGACCCTGAATTGCACCAAAGCCCACGTGAAAGAAGCTGAGACCATAGTGAACGAATTGAGAGAACAAGCGGTGGAAACTAAAGGCAAGTGGACAGAGGAGCTTTCTCATCATTTTCTGCCCGAAGTCGCGAAGAACGAAAGTACAGGAGTGAAGGACTCATTTAACATTCGTTGTGGCAAGGATTTGCGTAGTTCGGTTGACTGCGCATTTTGGAATTTCACGCCCAAGGGCGATCACGATTCATGTCGTGTGTGCGAAGGTGCCAGATGTGTGCGCCAGTTTGGACATTGTGCACAGTCGCCCTAGAGACACAATGCTGAGTGAAAGACACGCCGTTTGGGTTGGACGTGGGGGGTGGGGGGAAGAAAGACTCCCACGCCCCAGCCAACGTATTGGCAATGTGGACAGGTACGGACATGGACCTTCGAGGGCAGTCTTCGACCTGGACATCAAGAACCGCCCGACGCTGGGAAGGCGGGACTCGAGGTGCAACTCAAGAGGGCTGAGGTGGGCTTGGGAACCGTCTGGGAGCCTTTTTGTTGTTGTTGTTGTTGTTGTGGTGCAGGGCTGGAAGCCGTAATAGCAACCACAGTGTGTTTCAGTTTTGGGTGGTGGGAGCCGTGCCAACAAACCTTAGATTGTTACCTCCCTCAGGGGTAACATTTTTGAGGCTGTACCGTATGGTACTCAGACTTGGGCCGTGCATTTTGGCTCAAGTCTGACTGTGTGGCCCCATCAAGTCCCACCCACCCTGGTTCACTTAGGTTCACCCTTGAAGGGGGGTGAGGGGAAGAAGACTTCCATGCCTCAGCCAGCATATTGGCGATGTGGACAGGTACGGACATGAGCTTTGAGGGCAGTCCTCCACCTGTACATCAAGAACCGTCCTGAAGGCGGGACTCGGCGTGCAACTCAAAAGGGATGAGGTGGGCTTGGGAATCTTTTCATTTGACTGAAATGACATGTTGTTGTTTGAGACAGACTTGCTTTTCTTTCTGCAGACCTGTTGCTGCATTGTACAAACCGGAGGGTGGTTTCGCTGGACTTGGCAGCAACCTATTGTTCTGTCCAGCAGCAACCGGGCATATATATATATATATATGTAGAATCTCTAAGATCTTCAAGACTCAAGTACGGCATCAACCAAGATTGTGCGTGATGAAAAGCAGCGAGAGCAGTTTGCAAGGATATGAAAACCGACCATGCTTGGTACATCTTCGGGTTGCAGAAGTATGTTCATCCTTGCTCCCGCAGGAAAATATTCGCCCAGATATTGCAAACCGAAAACGATTCTGTGTGGTTGACCCATTGTGCCCAATTGCAATCGATGCGCCTTTTCGGGCCAGTGGCTCAAGAAAATAGTCGTAGCTTACATTTGGGCAGCCAGAAGAAAGATCAGACTCCGGAATTGAGGACTTGACCGAAAGGCCCTAGAATTGGATTTTGTGAGCTATGGAAAGAACATCCCGAAGAAAGCGAGTAAAAGTGAAGCAAAGGCGTGGAATTTTACAACTGAAGTTCCAAATGGACTCGGACAGGCATTGGGCCCCCCAACACATTTCAGACACTCCCTGCTGTCCCATTCAGCCAGCAGCCTTTGCGCCTTGCCATGGCTGCTCACGGAAGGCCGAAGAACCCCAACAAATTGGAAGCTTGGATGACAACCATGCACATTCAAAGATTGTTGTGCAAAAATTGCCAGTACACACACACACACATCGTGAAACATTTGTGGGATCAACAAGGACGACTCGGGTGTCTTTCTCTCGAAGGGCTCCATCAACAATTTCCCGCAGGATGTCTCCAAGACTCTTTTCTTTACAGCCACTTGGAGAAGTTGTAGTTTGAATTTCGGGATTCCGCTGGTCTTCGTGAATTGAACAAACTCTTGTACATAAAAATGCCTTCAATGGGGCATTGCGTATCAAGCAGAAACACCGGTGTTGCATAAGAAGATCAAGGACATCAATTTGATGCAAGAAAGGGCTGATACACACACTAAGTCAGTTTTCATCACCATGGATGTACAGCAGCTATCATTTGACCTTCACACAGCTTGGCCGCGACAAGGGCGATTGTACAAACAGGATTGCGGTACCCCATCAACACTGTTTCTCATTCTAATCTGTCTCGCAGACGCGGACTACCAAATTCCTTTTTAGACGAAGGCCATCGGTCACATTCATGATTGCTAGGTCCAAATGGCATCACGAGTGTTTCAGCATCCATCCCCAGACGACCTTTGACCCCTCAAAGCTTGCAGCGTTCGTTCTCGTTTTGAAGACATGCCTTGCCCATGTCGTCATGTGGAGATGGGCGCCCCTCCTTGCGGCAGCGGATTTGATTGACACGACTCTGCAAGAGGATGGCTCCGAGGGCCTCAGCCGAGGCTTCGCAATCTTCCAGCCTGGACTACCTGAAGGAGTGTTTGAAAGAAGTAAGATCCAGTGGTTGGTTTTGGAAAACATGTTTCTCCTCAAGAATCGAAAGCAGAGCAAGATGTTCGCAAGGGTTCTTGGAGTCTGACCTAGCTGCAGATTGCTCGTCGGAGACAGGAGATGTGGTTGGCCAAAGACTGTTGCGTCAAAAGAGCGAAGAGTCCATCCATCGCCTTCAAGAGACAATCCTTAAACAATTGGACTTCGAGTGGTGGTCCCTTGGCTTCCTTGGCTCTCCTTGTTGGGGTCTGGTAACCATGGAGGTCTGTGACCTCTGTGACCTCTGAACCCAGGCTCTGTGGTGCTCCAGGTGAGGAGGTGCTCCCACCAATCCTTGAGCGCTTGAAGTCCTTCGCGTTGCCCTTAGCGTCCTATTTGCCTCACCTCTCCTTGCCAAAGATCATCCTGCATTTTGACAGGCCTTTGCGGCCATTTGCTGTCAGAGACCGAGATGACCGAGACGGGACTTGGTGGTGGCACAGCAAGTTGAAAGAGGGCGATGTCCTGGTGGTGGACCAATTGAGGTCTCTGGTTGAGGAGGTCCAACTACCAGGTGCTGACATGCTTCAGGAAGCTGAGGAAGCACTACAAAGACTCGAGACCTCATTGGGCCCATTGGGTGATGGTGATCTTCAAGAAGCACTGGAGATTTGCAGCCATTTGGAGCTACATCTACCGAGCTACGATTATCCTAGGCTTGGAGATCGATATCAAGTCCACTTGCGGCCCGCGCTGGTGCGACGCTTCGAGCCGGTTGAGAGCGATCTGTTGGGGGAAGTGAAGGTGGGCCATTCGGTGAGCATCATCAAACATGGGACCGAAAGTCCAGGACGTGTTCAGATCTACACGGAAGAGGCTCTGATAATGCCAGGCAGGCCCAGGGGGGTTCATTGGAAGCGATGGCCTCCACCCTAATATCGACGGCCTCCACCGTAATAGCGATGGCCTTCAACCTAATAGCCATGGCCTCCAACCTAATAGCGAAGGCCTCCACCCCAATAGCGATGGCCGCCACCCTAATAGCGATGGCCTCCACCCTCATAGCTATTGGCTCCAACCTAATGGCCATGGACTCCAACCTAATAGCGATGGGCTCCAACCTAATAGCGATGGCCTCCACCCTAATAGCGATGGCCTCCAACCTAATAGAAATGGCCTCCACTGTAATAGTGATGGCCTCCAACCTAATAGCGATGGCCTCCACCCTAATAGCGATGGCCTGCAACCTAATAGCGATGGCCTCCACCCTAGTAGCGATGACTTCTAGAAATTACATGCCGCTTCAGGTCACAAATGTTGCTTTCAAGACTCCAAAGAGTGCTTGTGCCAGGCTACGTCTCCGATGGTCACGTCCCGGAGGTGCCCACATCTGGTATCAGTGGTTGGATCTCCAGTACCACCTACAATGGCACGCGAGCCTTGGTGCCAAAGTAAGGATTTTTGCTCAAAAGGACCCGCGCCTTGTTGCTGGATGTTGTCACGAAAGCGATCTCCGAAGGAGGTCAGCTGAAGTGTCAGTTTACGATTAGATTGGTCAAAATCGCTACCCCCCCCCCCCACCCCCCCCCCCCCCTTCCCCCCCCCCCCCCCAACGGACACGACGTCACAAACATCATCTCCAGGGGATTTTTAAGGTGTTCTCACATTCGTCGTTGTCATCGCTTTCGTTCCCGCCTCTAAAGTTTGTTTGATTTTCAGTTGAATTGATTCTTGTTCAAATCTTCCAGGTCTACTTGTTCAGACCGAGTTCAAAGAGGCAGCGGTCTTGGAAGCAGCTCGCACCGACCTCACAAGCACCGTCTTGGGCGTTTGTGCTTCGCCACTGGGCAAAGCATGTGTCTTTGGGTGAAGTCTTTTCCCATTCGACCATAGCTGAAGCCACTTTGTTCTTTTTTTGTGTCACATGCATTCTTGCTACATTTAATTTGCATACGTTGGTTGATGAAGACCGACCCTTTCACAAACCAAGGATCGGACCCAAAACCAATAGTTTCAATAGTAGAAACGAAGTTGAATGAAGAAAAAACAAGCTTTACTCGCCCAAATATCAAGCTCTACTTTGCTCGCCCGGGAGGCTCCGCCGTGACCCCGCCCAGAGTGTCCGTGCACCTGCACGCTTGAGCTCTGCGCGGGCACGTGTGCAGGCAAAGAGCGCCGTGGCAGTGCAGTGCGTGGCCGCAAAAATGCCCGGGCTACCAGAGGCGCCCGGGGGGAGGTTAGGTCTGGTTAGGTGAAAAGATCCCTCACTGTGTGGCACGAACAATGTTCAACGAGAATGTGAGGTAGTATTCTGAATTTCAGTGGGTTTACGTTATCTGGAGTTGGGCAGCAGGGCATTCCGGGAAATTTAGATATAAGATAGTTACAAAAAAAACGACACAAGATTCAGACAAAGCCGTGGTCTGCAGCCTGTGAGGTTGGCTTAGTGATCTTCACTGCCATCACCTTGCTCTTTGGGTGTTTGCTCTTTTCGGCCTTGAGTGCAGATTCCGCCTTCTAGGACTGGAGGAACCTGGAGATAAAAAGGAGACAAGAGGTTGCAGGCAGATGTTGCAGTCAGGGTGCGAAGGCTTGCGTTTCTGATTGTTTTTGCTTTGTGCCAAATGTGCCAAAATGTGTGCAATCATCTTAGGGTCTGCGAACTTGTGGCTGGATCCCCATGTCATGCCCTTCCAACCTGAGCAAAAAAGGCCCTCCGAACAGCTGATCCTTCAAGACTCGACCGACCTGTCATCCAGCTGCCAGCTGCCTTCCCTCCATTAGTGGCAAACCCACCAGTTCCCGAATTTCTCTGCCCCACTCACGTTGGGCGCCAAGGCCACCAGCACGGAGCTGGGTGACCGCAGCCCGGCACCAGAGGAGGGACAGCGGGAGAACTTCCTGAAGCTCCATGAGATTGGTCGAAGGCCGTGGGCTATGTGGGCATCCGTAGTATGGCCAGGAGCTATGTTTGTAGCATCCTTGCTCCTAGTAGCGATGCCAGGAGCTACTAGTGGCATCCTGTGGGTAGGATGTTGTTTTGCCCTCAACAGCCTACTGTTGGGGTTCTCTCTTAGGAAAAAACACTGGCCACAGTCTCCGGCGGCACCCCTGCAACCTTCTGTCTGGGTGTTGTCCTCCTGTAGTCCTCTTCTTGTCCTTTGGCCGCGCTGGCAAACGCTGTGTCCTCCTCTTGTCCTCCTGGTGCTTTCGCGCTGTCCTTTGTCCAGGAGTCCAGGCTTTGTCGGGGTTTGTCTGTCCTGCTTCACTGATGCATTGGTTCAAATTTGATATCATGCCGTGCTTTTCTCATGATAATATATTCCTTCGTTTTTGCACATGTGACCCCGAAATCAGGAACTATTGTTTCAAACATTGTTTGTTTACATGCCCAAACAGGTGGAGGCTATAGGAATATATTTACAGTACAGACGTTACCACCAACACTGGAATTCAAGGACTAACAAATTGTGCTGCATCTGCTTGGGATCTAGGCTGGCACATGTCTGTTTGTTTCTTTTTCTCCAGTGCTTTTGTCCAAATGCCTAGAAACTGCTGAAGGATTTGAGGTCCGGGATTTCATGAGTCATGAGTTCTCTTTTTCCCCAGATAGCGAAGCTATGGGGTTCTTACTTCAAATAACAATGAGTTGTTTCGAGACAGGTTGCTGGTGCTGGGTGCCGGTGCTGATGCTATGGTGCCGGGTGCCGGGTGCCGGTGTTGGTGCTGGTGCTGGCTGTGCACGTGGTGGAGACAGGTTGCTGGTGCTGGTGCTGGTGCCGGGTGCCGGGTGCCGGTGCTGGTGCTTTGAGCTGACTGTGCACGTGGTGGAGACAGGTTGCTGGTGCTGGTGGTGGTGCTGGGTGCCGGGTGCCGGCGCTGGTGCTGCTGGCTGTGCGCGTGGTGGAGACAGTGCCGGTGCTGGGTGCTGGCAGTGCGCGTGGTGGAGACTAGGCGCCGGTGCTGGGTGCTGGCTGTGCGTGTGGTGGAGACAGGGTGCCGGGTGCTGGGTGCCTGTGCCGGGTGCTGGGTATACCGGTGCTGGGTGCTGGTGCTGGGCGCCGTGAGCTGGCGTGCCGGTGCTCGGTGCTGGTGCCGGCTTCTGACAGTGAAGTGATAACAACCGCCGCTTCTGACAGTGAAGGGGAACAAAACCGCCGCTTGCAGCAGTGAAGGGCGACCAAGCGCCGCTTCTGACAATGAAGTGCCAGCAGTCATTGGCCGCATGAACTTGTGCACGCAACATCATACGGTGTTGTCGCTTGAGCGTTCTTTGTCTATTAGCGCTGTGGGGTATTTACACTCCTCAGGTTCTGTTTTGGCCGACAGCTGTGTCAAGGGCTGTACTGTTTGCGCATACTTCTGTACGTACAATGTTCTATGCGCAACGTCAGGCTCTCAACCGACCATTGTTTCAGCATGTTTCAGCATGCTACACACACAATAGTCGTGCTGGATACTGCTTGACCTTGGGCGAGTGAAGCCTACGGGCTTTGCCGTTTGTGCGCATACTTTTGCTGCAGATCGTTGCTTCAAGCATGCTACAAAGTCAATAGTGGCGCTGGATACTGCTTGGCCTTGGGCCAATGACTCTTACGGGCTTTGCTGATACGCGCAAGATCATACGTTGTTATTCCCCAGATAGGGATAGCTATGGGGTTCTTGCTGCAAATAAGAATGAGCTGGCCGCGCAAGGGTGTTGGTGCTGGTGTTGTGAGCTGGCTAAGCGCGCGTTTAAGACGGGCGGCGGCGCTAGTTGGGTGCTGGCGCCGTTGCCGCGCGCTGTGGAGGTGCCGTAAGCTGGCTGTGCAGGCTGCATACATTTTTTTCCAGCCAGTCGCATGTCAACAGGTCGTGGGACTCTGCCTAGCTATACACTTACAGACAAGGTGCAAGCAGGTTGCGTGGACCTTTTTGTGCATTCAGATGATGTAGGGCGTGAGAGAAATCGTGCATATTTTGAGAATTGGACTGTGTGCACAAGAAAGTAGTTGCTTGAATTGTCAGACGTCAGACATGTTGTTGGCTGAATTACTTTGCTACTCTGCTCCAGGGACTGCAAGCTCATTCCTTATCCAGAAATTCCGAACCTCACGCGGAAGTCACAAACCTACAGCATCTCCTTTGCACCCAAGCAGTCCACCGACTGGGAGGTGAACAAGTTTGTGATGCAAACGTGCCTAAGCAGCGATGCTTCTAACTCCACTCAAGAAGAACAAAAACGAGCAAAACGTAAGACCATGACCTCTATCTAAGTGTTTCTCATGGCCTCCATTGGTGACTAATTCCTAGACGATCTTCCGAGGAAGAAGGCCGGAACAGGTGCTGGAGTGCCTCCTCCGGATTTTGGGATGCGCTCCACCTACCAGGATGGTCGGATGAGGGGTGTCGGGTGTTGGTCATTGTCCAGGGAGAAAGTCGCAATAGATTCTGTACTCTACTTTACTTCAGATCGAGGCATTGAGTCCTTTCAAGGCTTATAACTACCGTATGTTTGTATGTATATGTATATATATATATACTATATTTTTTGGTTGTCTCCCTCCGAGAGGAGTGAGCTATCCTGCGTCCAGTAGCTGGTAGCGTCCTGTGTCGCCCCTACTCAATGAAGTAGCCACCTACTTAATCAAGTATGAGCAGGCTTTAAAAACAATTTTCACCTAGACCCCAGCTACCAGGCACCTCAGTGCACCCTCTTCGGATTTATTCTATTTTTCCATCAGGACCTCTCAAGGCCTCGAAGCCTCTCAGAGCTGAAGCATGCTCTACCTGCATGGACTCGCTGCTTGGGCGAAAGTGAACCAGTTGAGTTGGACACCATGTGAGAAGATGCGAAAGTGGATTCTACAGATATTGGGATGTGCGGAAAGACACTCCATCCGGGTGCTTGAGTGACTTTAGTGTTTCCGAGGAGAGCGAGAAGTCTTCAAGAGTCAGCCGTCCATGATCAAGAGGTCCCTGAGTCAAGACACCTTTGCTGGAGAACATTCTGGATTCAAGGTGGGCTTTTTGTATCTTCGTGTTGGTTTACAATGTTGTTTGTGATGCTGTGACTACCTTCTGACTGCCTGAGGCCATAGGCGACCGGTTTGTGCCAATCCATGAGCTGTCCGTGGATCTGGGATCCAGGGACTTCTGGTGCGACTGTTCAGCGTGTTTTTGGTTTAACGTCTCCAGTGACTAGGGTGTATGAGCGTGAGGTTTGGGCATTATATAAATTGGGCCTTTTGCGTCTTCTTCTACTGGGTTTCGTAGCCTTGTGGTTTGAAACTGTTTAATTAGTTGTATTCTTTCGACAGCGTCGCGTGACATAGTCTCGTTCAATCCCTTCATCAGGTATTCCACCTATGGATCAGAGCATCGGAACTTCTTCTCAAAGCCGCACAAGGATACACAGCGCTGGAGGCACTCTGTGGTGGACTCACCACGCAAAAAAGAGAAAAACTAGAAGGCAAGGAGTCCTTTTAAACGTTCCTGTTTTGTTGCCTTTGTTTTCGTCCGTTTGTGTGACACTTCGCCGAGAAGAATGTGTGTGTCGAGTTTTTGAGGAAGCGCCATGGACCGAAGATACTCGACCAGTTCTTCCAGGAGGGTTTTCAAAAGAAACCGGACTTTTGCATCCAAAGCCACGCAAGCACCAAGCACAGCTCCAGGAGCTCAATGGGCCAACTGTCACAAAGTCGACGTTTCTGAAGCCTCTGAACCTCCTGGGTACAGACCTGGACTCTGGGCTCTAATCAAAGTAGGAAAAAAAGGTTTGAGACCCTGGGGTTTCACGTCAGCCGAATCTAAACTTTAGGATCTTTTTGTATATTCTGTAGGACGTATGTTTTGAACTTGTGCAAGAGTGGAGGAATTTGGCAAATGCAACAATCTCAGCCACGTGCTGAGGAAATGATGGCACAGCTGCGAGAGAAGCTGCCGACGAGGTGACCGCCGAGGCGAGCCAATTGGCTCGCCAGTATCTCGCTCGCTGGGTCTGTAGCTAGGCACACCATTTGTCCACTCCCATGAGCCTCAAAGTGATCCCAAAGGAACTGGAGTGAAGTTGGGCAAGTTCTCTACTCTTGCAGTGCTCTTGGGCAGCGCAGCGCAGCGCTCCGACTGCTCACCAGCCAAGTCCTACCCCTTTTGCTGTGAATAAACATATATTATATCATTCTGAATTGAACAATCTTGAGCACTTTGCTTGTTACTTATGTGGGAATCCCATGCTTTGGTAGGGGACTGGTGCTCAGACCAGGCTTTGGTTTTATCGCCTGGGACCACCTGATGAATCACGGGCGAGGCCAAGGTAGAGCAAAAACCGATGAAATCAACCAGATATTCGACTAGCTTGACCATTAACGCATGGGACCAAGACAGGCAGTTGCTTGCATCCTCTGGACTCTGCTTGCCTCTTGACCCACATCGAATAATTCTCAAACTTATGGAGTACCGCGCCGGCCCTAAAGGGGCTCGAAACCGCGCAAAGTGTGCAGGGAGATGAGACGGAGTACAAATGCAGCTTGAAAGTGAATTAGGCATTAACAAAAAATCATTGAAACACAAAAGTGCACAGTTTTTCTTTCCTTGTTGAATTGGCGTTCACCGCAGCAGCGTTCACTGGCTCCTGGGGGTGTGCCACTGGGAGACCTCCTTGCCATGGCGCGCTCGTCGCTGCCAGAAGGGATAGACATCAAAAAGCGGCTCTGCAAAGATGTATAAAGCAAATTTACAAGCAGTCAAAAATTGTCAAAGACCTAGTTAGGTACTGCAACCTGGGTTCTGACTAGGAACTATTTCCATGTTCAGAGATGAGAGAGCATGAAGTGTAGAAGGACACAGTGTCGCTCTCCTGAAAATGAGATTCGAACAAGTGCTGATGAGGTGGAATACCATCTATCCCAACTACATCAATTCGAAGAAGACCGTGCAGGAGGGCCGACGGATTGGGCTCGAGAAGGCAGGAGCCTTTTTCAGCATGAGGTCAGTGGAATTGGCATGTGTTCGGTCTTTCAAAGACCCCTAAGAGCAGGAAAGACACAAACTGAACGCCTTTAGAATGCAAAGCATACCAGAGTTCTCCACAATACCGTGACTTAGAAAGGCTCCAAATAGTCAGACTTCTCCAAGGCATGTGAGCATCCACGAGCCTTTGAAATGGCAGAAATCTGTGAGTCCTTGGCCTCAACGTGTTGAGCTTTTGAAGCTTTGAAGCGGATGCGAGCCGTGACAAAATCCAACCTCGCTACGTCTTGCTGAGGTATTTGAAGATTCCACACGTATGCGAACCAGAGAAGGCCTGACATGGCCATTCTTAATGTCTCAAACAAACCTGGGTGACAAGAACATGAAAAAACATGTCAGAGGCCTATCCCAAAGATTGGCTGATCAGAGGACGGGTTAGAATTTTGCCGGGAGCCCAGAGCCCAACTCATCGTCAGCTGAGTTTGTCGACTGTTGCACGCACTCCATAAAGCAACTAGTAACTAGTAGCTTCTTGTTCCTAGTAGCGATGGCCTCCACCTAGTGCTTCTTGTGACTATATTGTGGCTTCCATACTTAGTTTTCTTAAGATTTGTGTAAGAGCAGGTGATGCACAAGTGCCATATCCCCCAAGCTCTCCCCTTGTTATCCAGCGGTTTCACGCACCCCACAACCCCTTGCTCCCCACCGACACTTGGTGATGACTCGACTGGTCCCAGGCTGAAGACACCTGAGGGTGCCTTCACCCATCCTGAGGCAGAAAGCTCTTGACACTTTCACACTTTCGCTCAACTGGAGGGAATTTTCGATCCTTCAGAGGTTTAAGTTCTGACGGAATCACTGACAATTCGCGGCTGCAGAACGACCTTTGTGGCTTCAAGGGCACCTTTTTTTGGCATTGCTTGTCGTTTCCTTCTCTCCGGGGTGCTTGATGCTCCCTCAGTTGTTTGAATGGACAGCTGACATTCCAAATCCTTTTCATCTTCAACATGGTTATTTACTGAACTGTCCCTCTCCTTGGTCGGGAAGGTCAACATTCCGAAAACATGCTGGCTGCAGAGGGATCTGGATGAGGATCCCACTTGGAGCTGACTGGGAGTTTGTTTGTGCTGCCAGATCCACACGAAGAAAGATGTGATGCTCAAGATGGGTGAGCTGATCCCCAAGCCCAGCGCCTAGGAAAGCTTGCTGGATTTTGTTAGAGTGTCATTATCATCAGGATTCGATTTCGCAGAACAGCCAACTCCACGGAGCTAAGTCAGGGGAGGTGGTTCACAGAATGATGCTTCCAATGCTACAATGCACTGGGCCTTACCCAAGTGGTCACCCCACCCAATCTAATCTGATTAGATTTGCAACGAGCAACGGATTCTGGACATTCTAGGGCCACAATCTGCCTGTACTATTCGACTAGCAATGTTTTTGAAGATGGGAGTTGGCCACCCAACTGGGGTCGACCATAGCAGGAAGCTGTGCATAAGTGCGTCGACCGACAAAGTTTCCAGCTGCAACTCTTGGCTAATATTATATACTATACATGTATCTATACTATAGCGGGTATATAGCAGTGTGCAACACTGTCGTTCCTTCTTGCTTCTCCAAGGTTGAAGTCCAGGGCCAACGGGCCGCCTGGCCCAGCACGGGAGCTCAGCGGCACGACGAAGCGTGACGAACGTCGCTGATGCGGCAAGCGTCCGCATCGCCAAATAGGCGATGCTCTTTGCTCCTAGTAGCTCCTAGCTACCAAGAGCGTCCTTGCTCCTAGTAGAAATGCCCTTGTTCCTAGTAGCTTGTTGTTACTGCCAGCTTGCGAGGGTTCAGTGAAGATAAGTAGGCCAGCACACCTGGTTGACTTTGCAATTGGAGGATATTCCTGGCTTGGGCATGGGGCCCTCCACATCCGCATCCAGCAGCGGGGCGGTTAGCAAGGACGCTAAGAAGGAGGCCCCGATCCATTGAGATGCACCAAGCAGTGGGCATTGTTCACTTTGGGTATGGGCTCGGCGGGTGTAGTGGGTGTGGCGGGTGTGGTGCAGAACCACACTGCACACTTTACGACAAAGCCTTAAAACACCTGGAATGATACTACTTGGGGTTGCGACTGCTCTTGTTGATGTATCGGTTCGCTGCTTCAAGAAAGCCATCTGAGCGTTTCATTTTTGCTCTGACTGGGCACCAGTGTTGATCCGATTCAGCCCGTTGGTCGCAGGCAAAGAAAGAGGAGAAGAAGGCCATTTGACCAGTCTCAGCTCAGGAGTCGAAGAAGACACACATGAACTGTGTAGGACAGATGGTGTGTTGATTTCTTTTTGGATCCTTGATGACAGCTTCAATGTTTTCTTGCTTGCTCAGGCCAACAAGAAGAAGAAATGAGACTGGAGACAAAAAGACTCGCGACTGTTGGTGGGTATGGTGGGTTACCGTTTTGCTCTTGTAGATGTAGCTTGGTCAGCTCAATAACAGCCAAGGTGTGGATGTCAGCCGGGTTGGTGAGTTATTTGGCATGAACCATTAGTACTAGGTCGCGGTGCGTCAGCAAGTACTACAGAAAAAAGTTTGTGTAAGCCTAAGCCCATGGAAACAAAGTGAGAACAGTTGATAGATCACACGGCCGAAAAGGAAATTACGACTTGATGTTTTATCGAGGCTTCCGTGTTCAGTCTAAATGCCTGGCAGCTGGATCAGAACGAAGTGGCCGGGCGACCACGTGTGGGACGCGCCGGCCGGTGGCCCTTGGTGCCATGCCACTGATGCGTAGGGAAGCTCAAAGGACATGATCACCGTCCGTTTGGTGGGAAAGGGTGGACAAATGAACATAGCAGACAGTCTTGGACCACATAAAGATCTGACAACTTCGGTTGAATCCAAGACGACTCAAATCGCAAGCCGTTTCAGTTTTTCTTTTGCACTTCACCAGCACTTCCAACTCTCTGAAGACCGCAAACGAGCATCAGTATTACAGACTTCGTTTGCATGAGTACCGGATCCAAGGTCTGGCTTTGCCTGTCCTCCTGGCCGTGCCTTGGTCTTGTTTTTAACTGCCTGCATAAGTTGTGGGAAACGCACTTCTATGGAAGCCAATCAGATTCATTCCTGAAGGGGTGAGCGGGCATCCCCACATGAACAATTTTGGCCAGAGGTTTACTGGCTCTGTCGGTTTCTTCATTTTTTCAAGCGACATCATAGGCTGCTGATCAGTGGCAGCCCTGGGAGACCACTACACCGGCAGTTGTTGTGGACAACTCCATTGCGGTTCAGGTGGGCCTGGGCTTTGAGCAGGTGGTTTGGTTATGCAGAAAAGAACAATTCTGAATTCCTCATAGTAGTAGTAGTAGTAGTAGTAGTAGTAGTAGTAGTAGTAGTAGTAGATTTCTTTCAGTGATGCTAAAACCCCCCTCCGTTCATGCGCCTTTCCATCCTCCCAATTGGTTGTGGTATGGAATGCACACGTGTTGCTGTCAGCGATGCAGAAGGTGTCCAAGTTCAACATACCAATTCAATTCCTTCCAAGTACACCCACATGCACCGGATCAGAGTCTCCATTGAGTTTTCATTGCCGCGTGTCAGGTCTTGCCAGTGACTCCAGAGGATTTCCGTGAGCTGAAGGGGTCGTGAGAGGTTTGTGGGAAGAGTGGTGATGGTGGTAAGCTCCGACCTTGTGCAGGAGTTCGCTGAACCAGGCGCAAAGCTTTCAGAGACTGCTGCAGGTGGGCACTATGTTCAGATGCTGAGGAACTGCTGATGCCGAGAGGATCTGCTTTGCGACTTCTTAGGACATTTTAGTCAATTACCATGTGAGTAACAAGAAGCTAGTAGTCGCAAAGGGCATCGCTACTAGGAGCAAGAAGCTACTGTCTCCTGGCATTACTACTAGTAACCAGTGTTTCAAGTTGTTCCTTCTTGTCATTGCTGCTTGTGCAGAGTGATGCCATGGCCCCTGAAATGGTGCTCCTTTCCTGTACAATCGGCGGTGCTCCCTTTAGAGAGGAACAAGCCTCGAAGTACTTCTTGGCCAGAAAACAGCCTTAACGGACTTGCACATGATGTTCGTGCTCGGGCGTGCAGAATGGGCAAGTGCCGACTCCAGCATTTCGGCGGAGCGACTACGTGAGGGGACCAAGACAACGCAACAGTGACTGGGTCGTTGAAATTGGGTTTGTCACGCTGGGGTATTTGGCAGCTCTTGAGACACTCTTTGAGAATATATATATATATATTTAAATAAATTGGAGAGGCTCTTAAGGTCAGGCATGGGCATCCTGCATGTAGTGCCAGTTGGCTGTTAAAGGGGCCTTGTGTCCTCAAATGTGGCAGCCCCACACTCCATCCACAGCGCCCTGTCCTTTCAGGCGCAGCCAAAGCTGGGCGTCGTGCCTATGAAGCTGAGCTCCAGGCAGGTCCGCCCTGAGCTGGCTTGGATTTTTGCTTCTTCTCGGATGTGGCCCAGAGCATGATAGGACGCACTAGACTTGTCAGACTGTGTCTTGTAGTTGTTTCGTTTCCTGCTTCAAATCAGGCAAACCGCATTAAAGGAAACAGGTGCCTAGGGCCTAGGGCCTCACTACGATTTCTGAACCTCAATGGCACTTCTCTCTTCTTTCCAATCACCGCAATAGACTGTCATTTTGACAAAGCTTGCAGGTGTATCGCATTGCCGTGGAATCATCCCACCGAACCAAGCCATTCTTCCAAAATGAGATTCGATGGGTCAAATGAGTTCCATGCCGAGCGTTCCTGAGCCTGAAGGCAGTAGAAGAGCAGGTGGAAGCAGCCAAAGGCGGAGATGGCCTACGAGAAAAGGTGGAGAAGGCCTGCAGAAATCAGCAGTGAGCGGGGCATGGCCCAGTCTTTGACATGTGCCTGGACGTTCTAACTTGGTGGCTCTCTATGTGTTATTCCCTGCATTCATGAGAACCTCTGCAGCATTTGCATCTTTTCACCACTTCTCTAGCCATCGTGGGTTCGACTCAGCTGTTGCAGACTGGGGGCTTGATGCGACATATTCAGGCGGCATTGATGTAGGTGAAGACCCAGGCATATTACTCACACCCACATTTAAACACCCTATTCGTGCATCATGCGTACGTCTTTAGTTTGCAGAGGTCCGCAAGCTGCGAGCCAAGACCATGGAGGCGTTTGCAGATGGTAACATTGGAGTGTGCACAAACGGACTTGCCAGCTCAACATCCTGTGCTTTGATTTGCCATGCTTTCTTGAGTGTGTCTTGCTTCAGGCAGCTCGCATGACAGGGCGACTTGCATTGGCGCTCAGTTTGGCCGCACAAAACGATCCTCTCAGGATCGAAGCCTGTTTTTTTTACATGTAAAGGCTGCGGACAAAGCAGAAAACAGCAATGTTCAGCTCTTTCTTTCTCTTTCTTTCTTTCTTTCTTCCTTCCTTTCTTTTTTTCCTCCCTCGTTTGAGTTTTGGAATTGACTCGAGCCGCTCGTAGAACAATACAGGTCGCTCAAATCCCTGCGGCCGTGGAGCGCGGGGCGTTCGGGAGCCCAGTGACTCTCAACATGTGTGCTCGATCGACCTCACGCTTGACTGCAACAACATTGTCCTGCTCCAAGCAAATTGTGATGATGCGTTATGTGGCTAAAGGGCTTAACAATCTCCACTGTTGGGTAGCGGTCATTTCGCTTGGACTGTTGATGAAACGATTAGCATCAAGGCAGCGAGCAGTAGAGGAAGTGGCTGCGGAAGCCTTGAAGAAGATCGAAGAGGAGAAGGCAGGGAATCTTCACAAGAAAAGATTGTTCCCCCTTTCCTAAATCTTAATTATTGTGGACGTTTACTACGTTTACCAGCACATTTTGATGAAGCTGCGGTGGACTCGGATGAACGGTTTAGGGCTGCTTGCAGTCTGTGCTTGTAGCAGCTGTTGAGGTTGCACTGGCAGCTAAGACGCCTGCAGAGGAGATTTGCGCAGACTGTTTAGATCAGGGTCAATCAAGCGGCTACAGGATGGCCATCCTCAAAGTACTACCATGTCGTATTCTCGGCGCATTTAGTTCGATCATGACTGTCTTTGTTTGTTTCCCTCCTGATGACGGAAAGCGCTGTAGCGCTTGGAAGTATTACCGAAAGGGAAGGGGGGGGGTGGGGGGGGGCCAAGCTGATTTGCAGACAGCGAGGGCTTTTTTTTGCATGTTCGAAGGTCCATAAAACACTGTAATTTACAGTAAAAAGTGGCTTTGGATGGGTTTGTGTTGAGCTTATTTACCTTCAAAAAGTTGCATTTTACCTGCACGGGAGGCAATTTTTGAGGTTTATCTTCTTATCTCGCATTCGAAGGCTTTGAAGTGCAATGTGCATAAAACACTGTAAAAAACAATGAAAAAATATGAGGTCCCACAAGTGTAAGGAAGGTGTTTTTGAGAGCTTCTCTTTATAATTTGTTGCGTATGAAAGCTTGCTCCTGACGAGCACATCCATGATGTCAATACTGCAGTCTTCCCCAGGGAACATAACCAGCATCGCAAAGGTTTGGACAAGTGCAAGAAATGTGTTTGTGAGAGCTTTATTGCTTATGAAAGCTTGCTCCAGTTGGTGGTCAAATTTAGGGCAGGTTTGTGCCAATCTTCGGCGATCGTGGTGCATTCTTGGGGCACATCCTTCTCCATCTTGGCGCGTTTCGCCCAATGTTGGGGCTCTCTTTGAGCCTTCTCGTGGAGGTATGTTGGAAGTGATTGGGGCCGTGGGGTCTAGATCAGGGCTCTGTTGAAGGCTTTGCTGCTGTTATGTCACTTGTTTTGCAGACATGCTGGTCCACTTGGCTGCTTTTTCTCTGGCGTTTGACTTGGGCAGGTGGTCCTTTGCGTAGTGCGTGTAAAACACAAAAAAAGACGTGAAAAGTGAGGTCCGACAAGTGTAAGAAAGGGCTTGACAGTTTTCTTTGTCGTTTTTGTTGCTTTGTCTTATGAAAGCTTGCTCCAGTGGGTGGTCAAATTCGGGGCACCTTTGTGCCAATCTTCGGCGATCTTGGTGCATTCTTGGGACATATCCTTTTCCATATTGGAGCACTTCACCCAATGTTGGGGCTCTCTTGAGGCTTCTCGTGGAGGTATGTTGGAAGGGGTTGGGGCCGTGGGGTCTAGATCAGGGCTATGTTGAAGGCTTTGCTGCTGTTATGTTACTTGTTTTGCGGCCATGTTGGTCCATTTGGCTGCTTTTTCTCTGCTGTTTGACTTGGGCAGGTGGTCTTTTTGCCCAGTGCGTGTGAAACACACAAATCATGCAAAAATGAGGTCCGACAAGTGAAGAAAGGTGGTCTTGACAGCTTTCTTTGTCGTTTTTGTTGCTTTGTCTTATGAAAGCTAGCTCCAGTGGGTGCCTAAAGTCGGGGCACGTTTGTGCCAATCTTCGGC